CCGGTATGAACAACATTAGATGCCAGTGTGGTTTTGAGGTCAGTTGACAAATGGGTTGTTCAGAGAAGGAGAGGTATGGAGTAGGATGAGTGGATCTGCCCTTTGATGGTATCATTGAAATATTTTACTGTCAATTTTGGAGTCCTGACCTTTGAGCTTTTTTTTTGTATGTATCATGCACCAGTGATATTGACCTCAAGGGTATAGACGATTGTAGGTGAGGCACTTTAAACCAGAATATGCTGGATTCGCTCTATAACAGCAACAGTTACAACAAATAAGGTAAACATCCTAAGATGTCTAAGGAATTGGAGAAAACAACCAATACTTGTGTTTAAAGCGCTCCTGAAGTGTGACAAATGCCAATATAGCGGCTTCATTGTCAATATTACTTGCTTTTTTTTTGTCTCCCCGTGCGGCGATTATCCGTAAATAAAGCCTGTAGAATGCAGCTGCTGACATACACTTCCTATCATCTGATGTGATGACTTTCATCTAGTAGTAGCCCGAGAATTGTGGTGAAACTTTCTATGTGGTAAGACCATGTTAAACTGTTCTTCAACTAAATATTGTACCGTTATTTAGAATATTTGAAAATAGTTGCAGCACAATGCTTTCTTATATAGTGGGCTTTCATTATAATACTTTTTTATCTTTTTAGGATCCTTCAAAGGTGCAATGACCTCGTTATGTAAAATTTTCACGTTGCACCTCAAACTTAGGTTTGTATAAAACTACCTTTTCTATGGTCGGATTTCGATCTTCTGTGGTACAACTCTACATGCATAAGAGAGGTACATTTTATACCTATAACTATTGTTCCTGAGCGTCGACTTCTGGTTTAAAAAGTTTCATTTGTTGTTATCTACACCTTTGTTGTTGACATTTTGGGTGTATGAGAGATATTAGAAACATTTCTGAGGGACGTGACTTTGGGGTGACCTTGAATAGTGTTAATAATATTTATTGCCTTATTAGCCTGCAACACAATTGTTTCATGCACAATATGTTTCTGAGCAAAAGTGAGAAAAAGGTACATACCAACATGCTTGACTTCATATTTTTTATACACTCGTGATTTTTATCATTATCATTTTGTTATACTTATTTTTTATTGTAATTTAGATTTTACATAAATGTTACGCCTGTTATGTACTATCTAATTTAATCCACAACACTACTCACGGTTCTTTCTCTAGCTTTACGAAAGTTTAATAATTTACCTGAAGACAACTTTCAGGATGGATAAGGATTTCGCCACCGCTCAGAAACTGAAGTCTACATATATATGCGAGACAAGCTACAACTTCATAAGAAAAAGTTGTATAGGAAATGAGAAATGACAACATTCAACTAATCCTACCAAGAAATCTATAACAACGTGGAATAGTATCAAGCTTATTTAAAATGTAGTGGAAGTAAAAGACCCAACTCATAAACTTAATGTCTCACTAAATTGATATCAGATTGGAACATTCACGGAATGGATAGCAAGTTTATATATTAGGCCCATTATTATGTACTAAGAGACCAAGAATAGCATTTTTAGGCCCAAGAGAGAAGTAAATAATTTCAGATAATTTCTTGTTGCAGTTGTGGTCCCTAATCAAGAAGCTCAACACTGACGCAACAGTGCTGATTAATAACTTATTTATAAACCAGGGATAATCAATTTCCACTCATTCAGAAATTAAACATTTTTGAATTAGACTTTTCACATAATTTTGTGACATTATATTCAAGAAAAAAAAAAACATGACACCATATCGACCTCAGAGTGACAGTCATCATTTTAACAGAGTACGGATCTCTACAAGCAGCCAGAGAACTGGACAATTTAAAAAATTCTAGAACATGAGTTAACAGAATTAATTCCTGATAGTACTTTATTTCTATTATAGCCTTTAATAACAAATATTTACAGAACAATGAAGAATTCGAAGATGCTTTGCATCAAGTACTTTAGATAGCCAGCAAGAGGCAATAAGCTCAGGTAGTATCCAACTTGCCTCTCTACATTCTTTTATACAAACTGGCTGAAACACGACCGTATAGCAGTACACGTGAGACACACACACACAAACCTTAACACAAGTAACGAATTTTGTGGAACATTTTTTGTCCAGCAAGGTCTAATACGATCAGGTAATACGTAATCAAAGGAAACATTTACGTAAAACCACATAATGTTTTAATCACAAAATTAAATAGTTTATTTTAATCCAGAGGAAACAACCTAAAATTAATAAATACAAAATATTTTGTAATTGTATAAGAGATTTAATACTGTACTATGATAAGGAATTTATTTCTTATTTATATTTGACTGCAGAGTTAGTAAATTAGTGAGTTGTTTAATAACTGTTGCCTGTTCGCTATTCACTAACTGTTAAGAAATTATAGTGTGAGAAAGCGGAAGAAAGAGACAACAGTGAAAGGCCTGATTATTGTTAAGAAAAATACTAAATTATATTAACAGGATATGAAGCATCTGGCTTAGTTGGTGAAGCCTTTATAGTTTTTGTTCTCAATGTGTGTTTGTTGTTAAGCATAAAGCTACACAATAGGCTATCTGTGCTACTTGCTGTCGAACCACAGGAGGACCGTTCTCAATAACTCTAGTTGAAAATATTAACATTCTTCTTAATTTTTTATAAATATTCTAAATAGTTTCGAGATATTTTGAGACTATAATAGTTAACTTGCATTAATTTGCTTGGTCCACACAATTTATATACCAGGTTTTTAATGATAGGCTGGGCTTGGTTTGTTTGACCCGTTGTTGTAGTGTGGCAGTGATTAGCAGTTTTGATCTTCATTTCTCTATATTAAAAACGTAATTCCCTCTTATTTACACTGGAAACGTACTCAAAAAAATTATAAATGCCAGTAATTAATAATGAAATAAAGTAAAAATACATCAACCAGTACCTAACTGAATGATATTCAAGATGGCACTAAATTGTTGCGAACCAGTTGGCTTCCTGTGGTCGGTGATTTGGAATTAGGGACGGCGCCATTCTACCTGTACTGCGTACTAACAGAGGTACTCCATCAACGCTCTATAATTGGAGGGAGGAGAGCATGTGCTTTCGTTGGTGCTACAAATTACTCTAATGTGTCACCATAACAATAACCTAAGGGTATACAATAATGTATAATTCTCCACAAATAAACAAATCCTCACTTTTCTCGACTAATTATTGAACTTACAAAGATATGTCTACCTTCTACAATGAGCCATGTTGATGAACAATTCCACCAAGGAAAATAGAAGTGGGTATACTAAGACTTATGAAAATCTGAACTCACTGTTTGTGACAAATAATATTACGAAATTGGCTTTAATAATATATCAAGATTATTAATGCCAGTTGTGAGACTAATTTGTAATCTAACAAAATATCATATATAACTATTTGTGTCAACAAATACGTAATAACAACCATTCTGAGCTACTTGTTATTCTCTAATGACATAATAGTGGTAGAAACGTTACAACTTCTTTTATCACAGATACACAAACATTTTAGCTTAAAAACATTATTTGTTATAATACACCCATTAAAGTTGACAGATTTATGACTCTTGTCTCACTTACTTAAATCGTAAGATTTCAGTGGCCTTTTTCAGACATTAGGGGGTGATTTTATATTCACATAATACCGGCAAAAACATCCAACATATCACTAAATATTACAAAGTTTAGTTTTGAACCGCCACTAAGCACAAGCAGTACATTATAAACACAGGTAAAGATGTGTGCAGTAATTTCTTATTTCTATTTTTTTTCTAGGGTGGTCAAGGAAATTTAATAATGTTCAACTTCTTTTCAAAGCCTTATCAAAATGTGTCTTATTTTGGCGAATGAACATTTAACTGTTTCGGGAAAGAAGATATTCTTAAGGACTACCGTAAGTATCCTTATTACGAAATACTCGCCGAATTAAAAACAATCACACTTTATCCTTTTTCGTTTCGAGATTAAATATAATTTTTTTTGTTTTGTATTTCTTTAAAATAAGCAATGTAAAAATGTTAAGTGAACAGTAAGCTTATTAAGGTTAGCGGCACCAACATTTTATGTTATTATAAAGGTAAATACCCATACTTCTTTATCGATTTAAACAAGTTTAGCCGAAAAGTCAGATCAAATAAGCAATGTAAAAATGTTAAGTGAACAGTAAGCTTATTAAGGTTAGCGGCACCAACATTTTATGTTATTATAAAGGTAAATACCCATACTTCTTTATCGATTTAAACAAGTTTAGCCCGAAAAGTCAGATCAAATAAGCAAATGGACCAGAGATTGTTGAAAGCAGAGAATCATGTTATTCACCATAATGCATAGGAAGTTATGTTTCAAATGTAATTAGCTAATGTTGATTTGATTCCCCTTTTGTGGTTTCACCTCTATTTAGTACTTGAACTTGGAAAGTAAACATGGTGCTGATTTATTTACGTGAATCCTTGAAATGTACAAACGACTATTGTAGGATTTATATTAAGCAAGATACACACACTAATATTTAATGTTATTATAACTGATGATGTGAATTATGGGCTTTATTTTTTAAGCTAACTTAGTCTTGGACAGCAAGTGAGGTATTCACGTGATTGACGTTCGATCACAGTGCACGTGTGGACATTCGTTTGTAATACAATGATTGTACATTTTTCGTGGATGAACAAAAACAGTTAAGACAATGCTTCAAACTTTTATATGCCACAGTGTTTGAGACGAAATCAGGTTGAAATAAAAGAAGTTAAGCCAGCTTCGATCAAAAAAAATATGGTTTTAAGAACATTTCCTGTTATTTGTAAGAGAACAAATCAGTAACAGACTCCAAGTGTAAAATAGGGTATTTACATTGCGAAAAGTTTTCTGTATGTTTTAAACCAATAATAGGGAAAAAATTATTCCAGTTATGCTATAGTAACCTTTACTTTTAGGGCAAAGAACAAAGAACGCATGCATTTAACATGAGAAATATATACAATCATGAGTACTGGTATTGATACTGGTGAATTATATCTAAACACATGGTACCCTCAACTGATAACTGTATAGTCTTCATAAGGCTGTTACCAATCCCATTAGACACTTCACAAGTGTAAGATCCTTTGTCACTTTGTGTGGTGTCTAAAATCCTTAGAGAACCATCTTCAAGTAAGCTGATTCTTGCATCTTCTACAACAGGGACCACCACCTCATCTAAAGTGAACATAAGGTTGCAAAGTTTGTTTCTTCACAAATGTATCGCTCATAAAATTAAACGTTATAAAATCTTATGTTGTATAAAAATAACAAATAACCACCAATGACGTTCCTGGCATTAAGCTATGGATGTTTAATTGCTTATAAGACGATACATCCTATCTATGTTGTCCTCAATTTCAGTATTCAATAGAAGAATAGTCCTGACTGCAAAAGCTAGAGAAAATATTTATATTTCATGTATTAATAAATATATGTATGAAATAACATAATATAAATTGTTCACATTAAATAAATGGTTTCATTAACTTGAAAAGGAAATTAGTAATGAAAAGTGGAAAAAAGACTTAACATTAATATTCAGATTTGAATTGTTTTTATTGACATCCAATATAAAACGTGTTTTCTTTCTCAATCAGGACATTTTGAAACTAAAGTAATACATACTGTTCTTTCTTTAAACATTTTTGTGCATCAAAAAATGCTGTTCCCTGGTTACTGACGTATATTTAGCCAGAGTACAACTGGAATGTTAGGAAATAACTCTAATAAACTATATACAGACAGCTTAAGTCTACAGAATTAAATAAGGTGTTCACTTTTAAATATCACGTTTTAATAACAAGCTTAACTCTAACGACAAATTAATACAGTACTTATTTTACCAGAAATTAAATTTGTTTCTTTTTGATATGAACAGGATCTCCTAAATGGAAACATGAGCCTCATGATACTTCAATAGCCATAAGAGAAGACACTGTATTAAAGTGTAGTGCTTGGGGTTACCCTCATCCCATTATTCGCTGGAAACGCCGCCAGGGTAGGTGACATTATTATTTCACTAGTAAACATCAAGTCATAGTTTAATTTAAAAGTAAATTGGAAAATCAATTATCATCCATATTTATAAATAACAGAACGATTGTTGAGTTTTGTACTAGAATTAATATTATTACAAGTTAATACATGTGGATGATGACAATAACGTTTATCACACCTTACCTTTTACAAGAAGCTGAGTTGTGTATCTATCTTCTTCGCTCGAACTCTGGGCTACACACGAATAGTTCCCAGATGATTCTACTGATGGACTTTGAACTACTAACACAGAGAATGTTTCATGGTCTAAAATTTTCCATCGCTTTTCAGACTGTATTACAGAAGAGTCTTTAAACCACTTAAATTTCACTTCACTTTTAGCACCAACTATGCTACATAAAGCCTGAACATCTTCTCCTTCTTGTACGTCACGTGGGAACTGAAAAGGCTGAATATCTAAACCTGAAACAATAAAGTCGTTGAAAGTTGTAGTAGTTTCATAATAAAACCTGAGGAATAAGTAATGCAAATATGTCGAAATGTATTTATTTATGCCTTTAATTTTATTAAATTATTCTGGGATCTTCTAGTGTTACACGATTCTAACCGTGTTTAAAACTACATGTTATGTAATATTATTCCTGCTTCCATTAGGAAAAAAATACATACTAATTTAACAATCTTTCGGCTATGACCAAGAACATTTACATGACTCTCGATATTTAGATTTGTTTGTGTACAGTGTTATTTTCGCTTAATATATTAGTCAAAACGGTTGAATAATTGTAACAAAATATAAACTTGATTATAGTACAGTATTATTATTTAGATTAACTCTACTTACCTTCACAGAATGCACCGTACACGAATATTGTCACACTCCACGTTATCCAACTAAAAACTGGAGACAACAAACTTACACCCGCCATGGTGGATTAGTGCAATCCACTTCAGAATCTCTCTATAACTCAACTCAGCTCCTCATCAGAACTTCTCGGACAAAGTGAGTAGACTTGAAGGAAGGTTCCTAAGTTTAATATGTTATTAATTTAGCAGCACTTGTCATAAAGTGTTACCGTATAGCTTTATGGTATAATGGAACAGTGAACCAAATACTTTTTGAGTCACAAAACTTCGCCCAAATATGGCGTCAGTAAGTAAGCAAAACTCCACACAACCTTTTCATTTGTGATTTAGTAGCTCTTAAGCGCCACGTAGTGTTGTTTCAATTCATTATAATTTATTGGAAAAATCTATAAAACTGTAGATAAAACATTGAAATATTTCAATGAGAATAGGTGTCCGTATTCTTGTTTAACTAGATTTTCGTTTAAAGCTGTTAGAATATGAGTTATTTTACCTTCTTTGTACACAGAGAGCAAAACAGCAAACCAAACGAAACCACCAAACAATGTTTCCTTTTAATTTTCACTTCCATCATAAATCTCTTATGGTGAATTCTATAGACTTCTGAAAGTTTCCACCATTTCAGTTTTCACTGTGCAAGTATAATACTTACTATCATTTGGTGAAATAACCAAGCATTCATCTTTCCAATCTTCAATTAACCTAGATTTAACTTATATCTAGCTGACAGAAATGTGCTTATTGTTTACTAATTATACTTTATAAAATAATCAATTAACTACCGCATTAAAAAAACAACTTCCGTTATTGTTAAATTGGCTTACCACTTCGTTCTCACCATTTTGGTGCTCCTAGAAAGTAACCATAGCTATGATTTATACTTTTGTTAGCTAAAGTAACATATCTGTGAAAGAATATAGTTAGAGTTCTGGAAACTGCCCATGAAATTAGATTAGTTTAAGGAATTAGTTGATATTCAGGTGGCGCTTGTGCATATACTCAAAGTTGAAATTCAATTTTCAATAAACAACAATTTATTGTACACAATTCTAAAAACGAGACTGTTTCCAGTCCTAAAAATACAATAAAATACTGAATAGTTTACTGCACAGGATAAAATAAAAAAGCAAAAAATAAAAAGAAAATAAATAAAGATGACGTAGTAAACACGTCGAAACATGTGAGTGTATGAAACTGTTTCCAGTCTCATTGTTTTTTCTTTTATCCTGTACAGTACGTTATTCAGTATTTTATTCTATTTTTGAGACGGGAAACAGATTGTTGTTTATTGATAATTGAATTTCATCTTATAGAGAATTGGTATTTGAGATGTTGTTTTACAAAAACTGAGCAAACAGATATCAAATATATAGACCTTATTGCACCTAAATGAACTTATATGATATTTCTAAAATTCCCGATATCTGATAGTTGCGATTACGTTAATATAAAATAAAACACTGATACATAAGTTTATATTACATATGCACCTTTAACTTCGGTGCATTTCAATGTACAACAAAGTATTTGTCTCCGTTGAAATATAATATCTTTACCTTCGACTATATGTTTTCCACTTCAGAAACTGCAGTAACCTTTGCAATGTGAGCGTGTTAGTTCTTTCTGTTTAGTTGTTTGTTTTCCTCATTTTTGGACTAGGTTCACAACAGTAGCTTATTATGTTGATAACTGTAGGCGATTCATGGAGTTAAATCACTTTTCGATGAAAGGAGAGCTATCCCATAATAGTAAGTTGATAAAATGTCCTCTGTTACTGGACACACACACACACACACCCAAGATTATTTAGTTCATGTATGACGTTGATATTCTAATATACTTAATTGTTCACTGTTAGAGGAGCGAGCTTCCAAAGCCTTAACACGACTAACATTTAGTTGCTAAACAAAACCTAATGTGAACATACAATCCATAAACAAAGGGAAACATTTTGGCAAAAGAACACAGTTTTTCATCACAAAATTAATTAATTTATTTTAATCCATAGAAAACATTTTAAACTTAATAAATATCAAGGTTGGCCTTTGTGAACTATTTTTTAAATGTGTAAAGGTTTTTTTTATTGTGCCATGATAAGGAATTTATCGTCTATCTACATTTGACTGCAGATAATACATTGTAGGCTTATTCTATAGTATCGAGTAGATAACTTTATAGTAAATTAGTAGGCCTATTCTTTAACTGTTAAGAAAGTATCGTCCGAGAGAGCGAAAAAATGGAACAGTAATAGGCCGAATTATCATTAAGCAAAATACTAAATTATATTATATTAAAGAGAAGAAAAATATGGCTTACTTAATTAAGCCTTTATAGCTTTGGATGACTGTAGTTAGAAATATTAACACTATTTTTTATAAATATTTTAATTAGTTTAAAGTTATTTTGAGATTATAAAAGCTAATGTGGATTAACTTACTCAGTTTGTAAAATTATATACAAGGCTACTGATTGTAGGCTGGTTTTGAGTTTGTTTGCCTTGTTTATTGTAGAGAAAGAGCGACAAGTAGTCTTGATCTACACTTCTTTGTGTTAAAAGAACAATACCCTTTTATCTACATTGGGAACTTGATCTAAAAAGACGCATAACGATAATAACAATAAATAACGTAACCATACGCAAATTAATAACTAAACAATATGGAAAATATAGCAATAGGTTGCTGCCAACCAGCAGGCTCCCTGTGGTCGGTGGTTCGGAATTAGGGACGGCGCCATTCTATCTGTACTGCGTACTGACAAATGTACTGCGACAGAACTCTAATAGTTGGAGGGAAAAGAGCCTGTTCTTTGGCTGATGCTACAAACTCTGTTAACGTGTCACCATAACAATAAACTAAGGTTATATAATAATGTATAATTCTCCACAAGTAAACAAAAAACTCATTATAAAAGAGATTTTCATCTTCTATAATGACCCATTTTGATTACCAGTTCCACCAAGAGAAATGCAGTAGGTATTCTAACATCGATGAAAAACTGTTTGTGTCGAATAAGGTTTCAAATTCTTTCTAATAATATGGCAAAGCTATCAATGATAATTCTGAGATTAATTTTAAATCTAAACCAATGGCATAAATAACTATAGCAGTCAACAAATTCGTAAACATATAGAATAAAAAATATCTCAAAAGACATGAATATTTTATTTTAAAATTTTATTTGGCGTAATATACATCTAAAGTTGAAACAGATTTATGACAGACTTCTACCTTTAATAATTGATTCTCAAACTTGTCAGGTAGCACTTCCCTCCTTTTTTCTGTGATATTTGATGTCCCCACCCAATTTGTCACTATCACTAAATGCTACAAAATTTAGATGGCCCGGCATGGCCAGGTGGTTAGGGCATTCGACTTGCAATCTGAGGGTCGCGGGTTCGAATCCCCGTCCCACCAAACATGCTCACTTTTCAGCCGTGGGGGCGTTATAATGTGACGGTCAATCCTACTATTCGTTGGTAAAAGAATAGCCCAAGAGTTGGTGGTGGGTGGTGATCACTAACTGCCTTCCCTCTAGTCTTAACACTGCTAAATTAGGGACGGCTAGCGCATATACACCGCGTGTAGATTTGCGCGAAATTCAAAACAAACAAGCCAATACAAAATTTAGTTTCGACATGACACGAGGCACAAGTAGTAAATTTAGCTGTATTTTATAAACTCAGTGTGTGCGGTGACTTTATATATATATATTTCTAGAATGGAAAAGAATGCGAAGTAGATTGTCCTACTTGTTTTCACAATCTTATTTAAATATGTTTTACTTTGACAAATGAATATTTAATTGCTTCAGAAATGAAAGTATTCGTTAATACTGTCCTAAATATCATTTTTGTCAAATACCCGTCGAATTAAAAACAATGAGTTTTCACTTTTTTTTTTCATCTAGTGATAAAGTCTGAATTTCTTTGTTTTGTATCAATTATTTAAAAATAAGTAAAAATGTTAACTGAACAATATAAACCTAGGTTAGTGACACAAAACTTATATGTGATTATAAAAGTAAATACCCACTTTTATATCATCGATTTTAAGAAGTTTACTACGAAAACATATAATCATATAACATAAGCTAGTGGATGGAGAATGTTGAAAGCAAAGAATCATGTTATTCACCATAATGCATAAGAAGTTATGTTTCAAATTTAATTAGCGAATGCTGTTTTGATTCCCTTGTTGTGGTTTCACCTCTATTTAGTATATGAGCTTCGAAAATAAACATGGTGCTGATTTATTTACGTGAATCATTGGAATCCACAAACGACAATTGTAGGGTTTATACTAAACAAGACACACACTAATATTCGTAAGGTTATTATAACTAATGACGCGAATTACGAACTTTATGTATAAAGCTAACTTAGTCTTGGACAGCAAGTAAGATATTCACGTGATTGACGTTTGATAACAGTGCGCGTGCGGACATTCGTATATAACAATGATTACACAGTTTTAGTGGATGAAAAGTAACAGTCAAGATAATACTTCAAATTTGTCTATGAAAATAACGGTTAAGACGAAATCACGTCAAAATATAAGAACTTAAGACAGCCTAAGTTCAAAGAAGTTAGGCTCTTAAGCAATAACACTTGCTATTTTATGTAACAAACAAATCAGTAATAGACTCCAAGTGTAAAAATCGAACATCTGCATTGCGAATATTTACCACAATTCTTAAGCCTTTAATATGAAATTTATTTATATCCCAGTTATGCTATAGCAACCTTAGTTTCAGGGCAAAGAACAAAGAATGCATACGCTTAGTAGGAGAAATATATACAATCATGAATACTGGTAAGGTATATTTAAAGACATGGTACCCTCAACTGATAACTGTATAGTCTTCATAAGGCTGTTACCAATCCCGTTAGACACTTCACAAATGTAAGATCCTTTGTCATTTTGTGTGGTGTCTAAAATCCTTAGAGAACCATCTTCAAGTAAGCTGATTCTTGCATCTTCTACAACAGGGACCACCACCTCATCTAAAGTGAACATAAAGTTACAGAGTTTGTTTCTTCCCAAACACTCTTTTGCGCAAATAAAAACGGAATGTTATAAAATTTTACATTTTAGAGAAATAACAAATAACCAATATTATCAAGTACTGTCACCCAAATAACAAATAATCCATCTAAACAAGTATTGTTACCCAAATAACAAATAACCCATCTAAACAATTACTGTCACCCAGATAACAAATAACTCATCTAAACAATTACTGTCACCCAGATAACAAATAATTCATCTAAACAATTACTGTCACCCAGATAACAAATAACTCATCTAA